GGACAGAGTTACAACTCAGGTTCGCCTGGTGCATGATGGGACTGACTCGCGAAGAATATGACTCAGAAGAAAGAAAGAGGTCAAAAGAAGAAAAGGTGTTCCTTATGACAAATCTGAGGGATCTGATAGTCCAGGAGGGAGCAGCAGTAGCGTGTGCGAAGCGGAGAGATGCTCTCTGTTTCATTCGATTCCTGATAGAGCAGATTTCAGTACCTGCATTAAACAGTTGTGTTAGAATGTTGAGGGAAGGCGATGAAGGAACGAAAGCCTTGTTCTTGCTGGCATTGCTGGACATGCAGCAAAGTAAACCGATGAGGGTGAACATGAAAGAACCTGAAGAACTGGAACCCATGAAAAAGATAGATGAGATCAGGAGATTCTCAAACAAGGAGCTGAGACTCACTAAAGAGTCTATGGGAGCATTGCCGAAATCCAGTGAATACTGTGGACCGATCAAGAAGAAGTCATATAGCTACGTATCTGGGATCATAGGGATAGCGTACAATCCTTTCCTGAGTGAAGACATACGTGATTGCTTCTTTGATTATGAGCAGGCGGTGTTACTAAGGTTCTGGACGTCCAGAATTGTAACGATCAAGAGCGTTAACAATCCACAGGCCAAATTGGGACTGGTCTTGGAAGAAGAGGTGACTGCACCTTCAGTACCAAAATCCGACAAGAGAGTGGAGTTTGGGTTGGGATTCTCAGATGAAGTACTGAGAACGAGCTTGATGGCAGTGTGGGAATTGATGAGGCCATCATGGTGTCCTAGTCCCAACGCTGACTCAATATTACGTGCGACACAAGACGTACAGAAGGAACTGAGTGCAGACTGTAACCTGCGTGACCTTAACATCATATATAATGTGATGATAACAGCCTCTAAGTGCAACGGAGAAGATAAAGTGGAGTTGCCTGGCTGGGGACCAGAAGACTGGGTCAAACCTGGTAGCTGTCTGGCGGAAGTCTGTGGACTGGAGGGTCACGTTTGTGGAAGTTTAGACTGTGTGAAAACCCTGGGAAAACAACATAAGCAATTGACAGTATTGTTTGGAAATGTGGTGATGAAAGCAAGAACGGAAACGGAACTGATAGCAGATTGCCATGGAGGAACTGATGTGAATCTAGTGACTGCACTAGGATTCTACAGCATGTTTGGTTCTTTAGAGTCACTGTTGAATCTAGAACAGAAACATGAAGTGGTCACAGCCATCAGTGTAGAAGTATTCCCAGGAGTTCTGCAGACTGAGCAGAAGTACATAGGAAAATGGAGGGAGGCCATCGAAACAGAGATGAACATCAGACACAGCGAAACTTATTGTAGACCATCAGGAGCACAATATTTGGTGGGTTCAACGTTGGCTCCAATGTGCAAGAGCAGATATCCTGTACATTTCGTAGCTGTGGACGTGAAGAGTACAAGAACGATTGTGGATCAAGCCTTTTCAGTGCCGAAGTGTGTGAGGTTGGCGAGAATGTCTGAAAAGTCCTACGAATTACTATGTAAGATGTTCTCAGCAGTTCCAGAGAGAACCAAAGAAGAGTTGGAGTCAATATTGGGAAAGAAGTTCATGGGATATGTGAGCGGGAACTTCAGTGACTTTGAGAAACAGAAACAGAGAGGATCAACTGTCACAGATTACAATGCAGTAGATGAGAATGATGAAATCCACCGAGTGATGATGGAAGTGGAACCATTGCTGGAAGCTTCGGGAAAACGTAATTGGAGGAGCATCATGTTGACGCATGATGAGTTTCCTTGCCACTGCTTGCTGCAGACCTGGTGGTATCCCAAGCGTAGTAATCTGATGTTGATCTGGGACTCTGGAGAGCTGCTCTCCATGGGTTTACCAGATTCATCACAGCCCGTAACAATAGTGATAGTGGGAGTTATGATGGCGATACGATGGCTGGAAGCTCATGTTAGAGAAAATAATAGACAGGAGGCACCAACGAGAGAACAATTGCGGAAATTAGATTGTCTAAAAGATTTAGATCTTTTTGAGACAATGTGCAAAGTTCTAAACATTCCGATGGAAGTGAAGAAGATATGGGCAAGAAAACGATTGATGCCATGGTTCAGAGCTAACATGACTGCGTGGTTGTACGAGTATGCGAAAAAGCATATGTCGAAGCATGGCAGAGTGTACAGTGAATATCAGCTGGACATTGGGGCAGGAGCTTTCAAGCGAGCTTTCGTGACTCATCGGAATGCAGTGACCACCGCTGTGAAAAGAATTTCCAGAACGAGTGAGCGTAGTGGAAATGAGAAGGCAGAAATGCTGAAAGAAGACCTGGAGAGAAACGTGACGTTGTGTCTCCACAACAGCTTCTGTAGAAACAGAGAATCCAACGTGGATCCCCTACCTTGCTGTAAACAGAGGGTAGAAGAGCAGAAGTGTTGGAGGACGGCTTCCAACAGCGTCAGGATAGTCAACGACGTGCTACAAGACACGGAAACCGAAAGTGCGGAGTCAGCATCGCAGGAGGAGGAAATGGAACATTGATGAATGGTCGAGAAAACAAGAGGCAACAAGAAAGAAAATTAGAAGAATTTAGAAGTTTTAGAACTTCTAAACGACGAAAAAAGAAGAGAACAAAGGAATGATGAAGGAAAGTCAAAACTCGGAATTGTTTTATGTGTGTGAAAAACTCAAGTGAGAAACCAAGCAACCAAGTTGTAATTGAAAACTGAAACATTTTGTTGAGTTCTGAAATTGTTGCATTTAAAAATTTGCATTTTGATTTTAGCAGAAGTGGCTTTAGAGACACTTATTATTTATTTAGAAAGGCTTAAGAGAAGAGTATATTTAAATATTCAAGCCTGCATGATTGTTTTTAATCACTTAGGAAAACTGATCACTTTGTGGTGACATGAAAGACTTGAGTAATCTCTCGAAGAGGGAGGTTGTTACATTGTTCTTTCTAACCACAAAGTTTCTTAGTTTTAATATTCAGGACAATAAACAAGCATAATTTCCGAAGGGAGGGGGCATAGTAGGATAATTTTAGCTTGTTGGTTGGCAGGACTGTCCTGCAAGTCCTGTTGGTTGGCAGGACTGTCCATTTTAAATCTAAGAGAAAAAGTTTTAATCGGGACATTGACACTGGAAGTCAGAAAACATGTTTTATCTTAGGTCATATTCTCAATGTGCAGATTAATGAAAGAATTTGAAGGCTATAGTGATGTAGTATGATGCCATTTATATTCTGCAGTGAGTTGATATGACGTGGATAAGAGTAATTTCGTGCATTTTGTAAATTCTGTTCGATGGCACTGTAACCATTTTGTGAACATTGCGCGATTCAATGAGGACATTGACCGGACTGTCCGGGGAGTATGTGACATTCGACCAGAATGTGAAAAATGCAATCTCTGCAGAATTCGGAATTTTAGCAGCAAGCCTTCCGGATTGGTGGTTTTTAAGAATTAAGGGTGTTATTGGAACGTTTAGCCAAACGGTGAGGGCTGGAATATTCTGGTATTTTAAATTTTCAAAAATTCGAATGATGACGTCACATTTCTGAGAAATGCTGAAACGGCCATTTTAACAAAAAGCGAGTGAAAAACAGAACAACTTTTATCTGCGATTGCGAACAGTACGAAAATCGAGATTGGAAAACGACAACGAACTACAGAATAGCAGAGAACGTTCCGAGTTGCAACTATTGTGCTGCTACAATAGTTGCAAGGCCGTTGCCAACAACGGTGAAGGGTGAGAACCAGCCTTCCGGATTGGCGTGAACTTGAACTTAGGGAGCTTGATTCACTGGATTCAAGAATCCGGAAGGGTCTCGGGACGGAAACTTTTATTAACTCACATAAACTTTTAGCATCCTGTCATGTCCTGACTTGAATTTAACTGATATTTTGATTAGTTTTGACAAGGATGAGGTGCTAAGAGTTGGGGGGGGGGAAGGGTTGATCCATCTTCGATGGAGATGATGATTTTTATCTACTGAACAAAAACAATAGTAATATAATAAGTAGTAGCCCTGTTTTTAGGAGTGACCTCGTGGTCTGGGGATACTGAGACCCAGCCATGAGCTCACTATTTTTGCATGTAATTCAGTTAATTTGAGCGTTCTGGTCGAAGCCGGAGAATAGTAACATTTTTGTCGACCCGATGTTGGAAAAGACCACCGAAAAGTACTGGCTTGGTAGAGACGGTGAAAAACATGCAAAGCTCTGTTTAGACGCTAGCCAGTCGTCTTAAGACTTAGTTTTGTTATCCGTCGATATGTATCTTCCGGGCGAATGTTACAGTACATCTCAATTCCAATCGCTTTCCAATGTTTGTCCAGTCTCCACTTGAATTCGTCGATGGTCTTTGATAGGTTTAGCCGGCTCATATTGCGTCTTTCGATGAGCGAAAAAAGTTTTTGTGTGGGTGTTTGTGTTTTCAGGGCGAGGGGAGCTAAATAGCTTCTTATTAGCCGTAACTTTTGAATTTTTTTCGGCTTTTTTATGTTTAATAGGTTCCGAGCTATTTTATATCGGCTTAGTTGTCACATATTGTTTCCTTTGACAAGCAAAAAAAGTTATATTGAGTGTTTCGAGGTCGAGGGTGACTTTTTATTTTTTCATAAATCGTAAGTTTTTTTCGGCCTAAAAGGTTTCTGCAAAGGTATTTTCGGCTTTGTTTCTGCTTGGTAAGTTATCATCCGATGCTAATTTCATGTTCTATTGTCTCGGCATGTTTTTGTTTCTTAAGTAGGTTTTATTCATTACAATAGAGCAAGTTTTTTTTCGATTTTTTTTCGTTTTTGGTTCTTGTGTTGTATCGCAAATGGTGCGAAGCTCAGCTTCGCATCTGTGTTAATAATTCAAAGTTATATGGGTTGCGAGTAACTAATGTTATCGTTTCCTGCTATTCTGTAAATGAAAGAATTTTCTAAAAAAAATTGCGTGACAGACTTTTTTATGATTGTTCGAGATGAGTTGTTGCAAAGTGAGAACTCATTCATATTTTGCTTGTTAACTTACTCATTTCAGAATGGCTCTCGATGATTCATAATATTTTTATGGAAACCTGATCCTAGTGGCAAAGTGAAGTAACATGGAGGACGATGAAGAGGTTCTGACAAATCCGACTGAAGAGGCAAACAGCAGTGCTGTTAATAAACTGTCACCTGAGCATATTCTGGCTGACAGTTGTCAACTTGTAGCAGACTCGCTTGGAGTAGAATTGCTACAGAGGAAAGCAGCCAGCCACTTATCGAGAGAGGTTATTTTCAAAGTAAAATTGGCGATTCAGCATGCCGAACGATTCCGACGCAAAGCAAAACGAAGTAGAATGAGTCCAAAAGATATAAATGATGCACTGATGCTTCAAAGTGGTGAGGGGCAAATGGGAATCACCTGCAAAGATTTTGTTCCATTGAAAGGTGCTACTGGAGTAAAAAGCTCAAATGATATTTATGTTTGCGACGAGGAAGAAATAAATCTCAACGAAATTTTGCAATCATCCCTTCCCAAGTATCCAGCTGAATGCCAGTGAGTTTTCATTTGCAAGCGTAAAAATTGAAATGTGCATTAACTGAAATTGAAATAAGCATTAATGCTTATTTCAATTTCAGTTAAAGCACATTTCAATTTTTACGCTAGCGATTAGCAAGCGTTATCAAACCGGAATATAGACTTGTTTTCGGGTTAACAACTTCTTGAACAGAATCACTGAGTCAACCGGCGAACTTAGCCTGGAGGTAACGAATATGCCTGGGACGGCAATTTTCCTTGGTTCGAATCTCACGAGGACCTGTTATGTTTTTCAAACGGGAAATATTCTGTTTCAAATAAAAACTATTTGTCTGCTTATCTGTCGTCGGCTTAGTTGTCACATCTTGGAATCGTGTTTTTTGCTGCGCGTATTTTTCGTTAATGTTGCTTTTTTTGTTTTACTTACTCCTACAATTTGTTATTTTACGTACCTTGACTTCGTATTTCCTTCTTTGTTTTTTTTTGTTTCACCCAAATTATTTCGGCCTATCTTCTTAATCGGCTCAATGACGTAATTTTAGGTCGTTTCAGGGGAAACACAATTTTAAAACTTCTCTCCGCACTTTTAAATGGGTCCATCGGTGTAATGAAATTTCTTCTTTTTCGTTTAGGAAAGTTATTTCCAAAGTTGTTGGAAAAATTTAGTTTTGTTTCAGCAACTTCTACTCATTTTCAAATAGGGGTATCAATTGAAAGACCACCTACTCCCCTGTGTGCCTGCATACTCCCCTAGAGTCTCTTTTTACTTGATCCCTCTGTCTACAGCCTTCGAAAAAGTCTGTGGGGGAATATTTGACCCATATTTTCGATTTTTTTTCCGTTTCTCGATAACTACCCCTCTCAAATCTGAGTTTTTAATTTCAAAGAATAGAACGGTTTTAAAAAGCTCGCTGCATCAGCAGCTACGCGCAAATTTTTCGGGACTCAAATTAACACAAAGTTTCGGGACTCAGGATAATCAACTTTTTTTGACCGTTTTGGTAATCTTTTGCACTTTTCTCGAAATCTAAACTCTGAAATCTGATATTGTAGGTTCCATGGAGATAACGGGCAATGGAAGCCCCCCTGCATTAGCGGCCACTCAACGTTTTTTCGCAAAAAGTTATCACCCTTGGAAAAGTCAAATTTTTAATTTTCTTACCGTATTTCAAACTTTTTGAATATTCTCGAAAACAACCCAGTAATATCAGAAGTTTTGCGTTCAAATCAAACAACGCGTTGTGAGAAGCGCATTTACTTATGCGACTAGGCTCAAGTTTTTCTGACACCTAGAGTTATGGCCCTCGCAAAAATCAACAAATTTTGATTTTTTTAAACAGTTTTTTTTTGAAAGTTTTAGACTTTTCTCGAGAACTACTTCCCAAATGTGAGATTTTGGGTTCATTCGAAATTACAGTTTGCATAAGTCTTTTCTGCATAAAAAGCTATGATTCTGGGGAAAATTTTTGATTTGTTGACCGTTTTTTGTCTCGCTAACTATCCTACCATGCCTGATATCATAGGTTGAATCGAAACAACAGGTTGTTGAAAGTCTCGCTTTACAATAGACTAAGCCCATTTTATTTATGAAAAATGTAATGGACTTCAAACAAGTCAAAGGTTCAAAACTTGACAGTTTTTTTGAAACTTTTTGACTTTACGCGAAAACTACCGTGCCAATTTTCAGGTTGTGTTCAATCGAGAAACCCGGTTTTAGGAATCTTCTCTGCTTAATCGGCCATCAATCTGCTTTTTGCAGAAAAAATTTATGATTTTTTATGTTAAAGTATTTTGACCTTCTTCAAGAAACTTTTTTGAATTTTCTTAAAATTCACACAATCAAATCTGAGATGAAAAGTTCAATTGAAAGAACTGGTTGCCATAATTGTTCCTGCAGAAACAACTAAGCTTTTGGACAAAGTCCAAATTTTTAAATCACAAGTTTTTCGTGCCGCATTAGTATAGCAAATTCATTCTATATCAAACACGTACCTCCCGCTTTAGCTGGGCCTCTAGTTGTTTTTATCGAGTTATACAAAATTTTGGTTCACCTACTTTTGTTCAACATTTTAAAAAAATTTCCGGCTAATGTTTTTTTTATGTTTGTGTTGTATCTCAAGTGGCGCGAAGCTCCGCTTTGGCTCTGTGTAGAATATGCGTCAGATTTTTCTAAGTATTTTACTTCACTTTTGAAATAGGAGTGGTTTTTCATTCAGACTATTTGCCGTGATCGAGATAACTTTCCAACACGCTGTTTGAAAGCCACTGTTTTGCCAAATTTTTGATGTATGCCCAAAAAAATAAACATTTATCCTGAAAATTTGATATTCTAAGATATGAGTTTGCAAGACCGAAGTTCATGCAACAAATTATATTGCGTTAAAGCTCTTGAAGTTTTGAATTAGTTGTATTTTAGTCTGCTTTGTTTTGATAATTGTCATTGGGACCGAAAACGGCTCAAAATTATACACAAATTGTGTATAAAAAGGCGTAACCAGAATTTTTTTGAACGTGACTTGACATTTGTTTAAAAATTGACTTCAGTTCTTATTCTTACCAAAACATTTTCAGTGAGAAAACATAGCATAACGTCAATATCAAAGCATGATTCTTGATATAATGATTGATTCAATTTTAGCATGAAGTGCCATTGGCTTGTTGTAGACGGAAAACAACCCTCAGTTCCTGAAAATCCACTCATGGTCGATCGACCAAAGCAGATGAAAGCATCTTTAAGCACTCCAACTGTTTCGCATGGAACAAGTGCTCAGAACGGAAATTCCGCAGCAAGGAAAGCCAATGCATCCAATGCGAATAGTAGTGCTCCTCAAACAAACGCTACACCAGGTGCTGTAAAAACGAAACCAGTTCGCTTTCACGAATTGTCTCTTGAACAACAACTTTATTTTAAGGTATGTTCTTTGGGCTCTTATTTGTATTCAAGCTGTCATAAGAAGTCGTTGCTGTTTTTCCTCTGAAGTAATAATCATTGCTTTTCAAAGCCAGAAAATGAAATTTATATAAGAAACAGTCAGAGTGGTAAATGATTATATCATGAAAATGTCATAGAGGTCATGAACTTTTCTACGAAAAGATCTAGAAAAAAGTCTATTTTATGTTCATTTCTAGGAAATCACAGAGGCGTGTATGAATACGAACGAGGAAAGAAAGTCGGAGGCGTTGGCGTCTTTGTCTACTGATCCTGGGCTGCACGCGTTACTTCCCAGATTTTCAGCCTTCATCACCCATGGAGTGCGATTGAATGTTCTTCATCGAAGTCTTGCAATACTTATTTACCTCATGCGAATGCTGTCTGCACTTCTGAACAACCCTAATATTTCACTCGAAAAGTATCTACACGAACTTGTACCCTCAGTGTTCACGTGTATTGTAAACCGTCAGCTGGTCGATCAACATTGGGCTCTAAGAAGCTTCGCTGCTAAATGTTTGGCCATGCTTTGTCAAACCTATTCGAACAATGTAAATAACCTGTTGCCGAGATCGGTCAACATTCTGAAGCAAGCGTTGTCTGAAATGCATACGATTGGGTTCCCGACTTTGTACGGAGTCGCGTGTGCACTCGGAGAATTGGGAAATGACACTATTAAATCGGTGCTCATACCGCAGGGGAAGTCTCTTGGAATTTTGATTCAAGATACGCTCCAGCAATGCGCAAGGAGAGAACACCAGCAGCAGCAAAGTTTGGCCGCTGGTGCTAACAACGGCTTGTATGATTCAGCCGATGACGCAATGCTCAAAAAAGGTGCTCAGGAACTACAGACTAAACTGACGAAGGTGCTCGCTGCGTTCATCGTAGCCGAAATGACCGACCTTAGTGAGTGCATAGTTTCAGTTATTCAGCAGCCACAATCTGAGTTTCTGTAATGCAAAGTTTTCAAATTCTTTGTTTAAGCAGATTTAAGTAGATTTTATTGTTGACCTCTGGTACCAAACAAGTTTACAAAGTAGTTAGTGAAATTTAAAATAAAACAAACAAGTCTGCAAAGTAGAATTAGGGAAATTTAGAATAAAACAAACAAGTCTGAAAAGAAGAATGATGTACATCTTTGGACCAAAGGAACAATCTCCTCCCTGTATCAATTTAGAGAGAGATTGTTCACTTGGTTAAAAGTAAAACTTTTCAGCCGATCAAGTTTGGGCATAATACTTGGTGAGGGCTCTTTTAGAGTCTCCCCACTTTGATTTTTTTAGAAATTTAATATATGAAAGTCTTTTTCCATGTTTATACTAACTAACTGCGTTAGTGTAATAGTACGAAATTTTTTTTTTTACACCTAAATCGCAAATTATTGGAGCCACTTTTGGTGTTTCTTTACGGCTTTTTGATAGCATGTACTTTGACATTTGAATAGTAATTAGTTAACAAAGTAATGCATTTTTATTGCATCAAATGAACCAAAAAAGCTGTTTGTTTCAACACTATAATAATAAAAACTCGATATCAGAAATTTTCTAACTCAATATATCTTTCAATTTTTTGGAATGCTTAACTTATACATAATGTGGCTTTAATTTAATTACATGTAAAGTTAGTGTGGATGCCTTCAGTTTGTTATTTTGCAAATTATTACTTGCCAAATTGTGTTATTTGTAATAAGTACCACTTTTGCTGCTACATCCCTTTTGTGCGATTTATAAGCAAATGTAGCTGCTTTTTTGTGACTAGTAGTTTGCAATTGTTAAGCGTTCGTGACCGAGAGGGAATGTCGTGAGACTCCAAAGCTCGAGGTTGCAAAGTTTTACTCATACGAGGCTTGTTTATATATTTTTTATATAATAATTTATATTATCACTTTATAAAGATATTTTTTTGTGTTCTCCTTTAGTGTTTGCAAAGCGCAGCTTCGCCTGTGTATTGCGTTAAAACTTGGTGAACAAATTTTTAAAACATTTTCTTACGTGCAAAATGGCGTGTTAACAATTTTTGAACAGCCTTATTTCGTAGTTTGCCGAGAGTGGTGGGAAGCTGGAAAAGATCTTTTGGGAGATAGTACTTAGAGAGATTGTTCACATGGGCAAAATGTTTATTTTTTGCAGCTGAGTTCAATGACTTCAAGGCTCATTTTGGATATTTGGGTGCAGTGATTTACAACGAAGTGACAAGGCTGCGACAGAACCAACAGCAAACTCAGTCAGCTGCAGTCTCATACGTGTCTCCCATTGCTCTCAGAATGTCTCCAGGGACGTCGCCAAATCCGAACCAGACCATGCAGAGACACAACGTCGGAGTCACTTCTCAACATCAGATGCGAGGTGTGCCAAGAGTGGCCATGCAGCAAGGTTAATTGAATGTTATTAGATAGTTAGTATTCAGAATTAATCAAACTCATCAGTATAAAAAATTCAAAAAATATTAAACACATACCTCCAGCTTAAGTTGGGCCCCTAGTTGTCTTTTATCGAGACTACAAAATTTTTGATTCACCTGGTTTTTTTCAACATTTTGCATTCTTTATCGACTTATGTGTCGCCTCTGTGTTTAACAAGAGCATATTTAGGTGCCAGAGCAAAATTTTAGAGCAGTTTTTGAAATTTTTAATCCGCTCCTTATTGTCACTTGAATAAATTTTTGTCAGGAGGAATGATGGTGCAAGGTCGACACATGATGCAGTCGCCACAGACAAATTACATCAACAGTCAGACACTTCCTAGACACCCTCAACAGACCTTCGTAAATGGATCCATGACGTCACCACCTGACTCCAAGGACTTTCAGGTAAAATATTGCATAATTTATATTGGAGAAGCTCTACTTTTATTCAAAATTTAAACAGGTAATTGTAATGTATCTTTGATGTCACGTGTTTTGCGCAAATAAAACATGTTTCCAGACAACATTTTGAATTTGTTCTAGTTGTCGTTTTTTGAATTGTTTTTTGTTTCTGTTTCTTTTTGGGCTTAGTGGCTTCTGTTCCCGACCGATAGCTTGCACTGCTATTCTCATGTTCTATCTGTAGGAAAAATCTGCTCTGCCTGCGAAAAATTCGTAGATTCCGATGTGTCTAAGACAAATTCGTTTAACTTAGCTATTCAGAAGTACTGGAAAAATATTAACAGTGGAATACAAATAGATATACCTCATACTATAACTTTTGCTGTGTTTTCAGATTAGTCCTGCAAACCCTAACGCCCACTTCATGGCTCAGCAGCAAGCCATGATTTCGCCCCATCAGGGACATCACATGCAGCACTCTCAGATCAGCCCAAATGGCGCCCAATTTGTGACCACATCAAATCATCAGCAGAATTATCCATATAGCCAAAATCGCTGAGAGGAGATTTGAATGGAGTAATTGGTTGTGTGTAACAGAAGTGGTTTCTGACTCTGCAATTATACTCAGTTTTTGACTTTTTTTCTCAGGAATCAGACTGATTTGGATACTAGACATGGGAAAAAAGTAACCGATTAACTATATCAGTGTTTAACCCATCGATTTTGCTGGCGGTTCTGGTTTTTGAATAACTTTATTCCTGTATATTTTTAATAACTAGAATTGAGCAGGGAATAATTTATGCGAACATGCAGAATAATCTTAATGCTTCAACGCATATTACAACAGCTCTACAGGAGAGCAAGGTAACATAATCAGGGAAGCCTAAAAATACACTGGTTCATTGAAAAACACTGTTAATCATAATTTAATAAAACTGGATTCATCATAAATTAATAAAACTGGATTCATGCAATTTAAGGAGGGTTTGAAATTGAAAATTAATAAAACTGTCCTTGCAACACAAAATCTTCGTTTTGATCACGCATTCACGTCACCACCGTCACCCTTTTTAATTTTATTGTTTATATAGTTTGTTTAAAACTCATTTGTGTTTTGGCTTTAAAAGTCGATGAACGTGTGGTGATTTTTTTTGCTCGGGAGAAAGGCAAATTTGTTCAATCTCAAATTTACCTTTTCGCAGTTTGACTTTAAGTGTTTTTAGACTGAGTTCATTCCCTGGCTAAATGGAAGACAAGCTCCACTATCGAACGACAAGAGTGTTAAGGTCGTGGAAAACGTGATCAACTTCTTGTTTCGAAAGTAGAATGTAATTTTCAGTTTTCCCAGCGAAATGAAACTTTTACTTCTTGATCTAGTTTTCTCAAATTGAGTTAACTTATCAAAAAAGTGCCCATCATAAATTGTTCTAGATATTTAAAGAGCTTTAAGTTCATCTTTTAAGAGTCGATGAACGTAGTTCAGACTCTTATATAGGTCGCGATGATTTTTTCAGGAAAAATCTTCAAATTTGTTCAGGCTCAAATTTACTTCTTCGCGGTTTGACTTCTGATTTCTTTTTTTTCCAGCTCTTTTCATTTGTTAAAAGGAAGGCAAACTCCACTATTCAACAGCAAAAGTTTAAAGGTCACGAGAAACGTAATCGACTTCTAATTTCGAAAGTGTATTCTTACCTATTGCTCCAGTTTTCTGAAATTGGTCCTATTTTTTTATCGAAAAGTGCTAGTTTTAAATTGTTCAAGCAATTCAAAGAGCCTTAAGAGCTGTTTTTTTCACGAAATTCGAAGAAAGTTTAAAAAACAGTCAGCAGTTACTATTTACTTGCGTTCATTGATTCTCCTCCAGGTGTTTGCTGGCTACGTTTTTTTTTGAATTTCAAAAACTGAGGTTGTTTCAGAAAACAAGTCAGTGTTTTTTCTGTTTACTTGCGTTCATTGAATCTTTTCCAACTGTCTGTTGGCTATGTTTTAAGATTATGCGGCCTGTCCAAACGGTAGACCAATTGTTATTGTTGTACACCTCCATACCGCCATGCACGTCATAGTTCAGACCCAGTTTGCTGGTTGCCAATGGCTTGCCTGACACGTCTTCTCCTTTCTTGTCCTTCTCCTTTCTGTAGAGACAATCCAACCGTTCAGCCGTATGACGCTTTTTAGTCAGATAGTTCAACCTCTCGTCGGGGGTCGGGCTGTGCCACTCTACCAGAACGTGAGGAACCAATGTTCCTCTCGGATTCGCGTACTAAACAAATGGTTTTGTTGAGAACGGCGCAGCGAACGGTATACCTTCACGGAAAGCACAGACGTGATTGTTTCATCGCGGGGAGTGATCAGTTTTTTATACTGATTTGGCCTATTGACGAATGAATGTAAAAATCGACGAAAAAATCGGTCGCTAAACAACTACACCTTCGCCCCATTTTCCATGAATTCACGTTCTTCACGCTAAATCTCGTTTTAAAACATTTTTGTGTCAACGTTCACGTTTTTCCGTGAAGCACCGAAGCCTGGATCTGGTGTAGTTTCCCGGTTTTCAAGAAAATGGCTACCCTGCACTTTTTGTGACATAGTAGGAATAAAGCTAACTTACATATTGAATATAGCAATTGGAGAGGTGCTTTGTAGGTGCTCCTGCTTTGTAGGCACTGAAGTGTTTATAGGCAACCTTCTGGATATGGGAAATCCAGTACACCACATCAGCACGGGCAATTGAGTTGGCGATTGGACGGTTGTTTAGGGGTAGTTTTCCCCCTCGAGCAAGACGCCCATCTCCAAACACCCCATACGTCGATGGGAGGTATTGACAATTTAACTGCGAAACTTCTGCTGAGGGTAGCGAGGATCCGGACACGCCGGAAAGCTCTGCTTCTTCCTCATCGTCGGGTATTTCGGCCATTACAAAACTGAAACAGAAAAGAAACTTGAGGCTCGGTTTGAAAATTAAGTTTCTTATCTTAACAAAAATGTTGACAGAATAGGCATAAATAGGAATTTGATTTCGTTTAGAGGAACGTTAACAGGTAAAAATGATTCGTGGAATGTGTGTTCTGGAATTGGAGGTAGATTTTTTTGTCGGCGACGATATGTCTGCAACGATTTTTTCGTCTGCAACGATATGTGATGTCCTGGTGTTATGAAATCAGACCTGGTGTTATGAAAACAACTACCCGGCAACGAGAATGCGATACATTGATTGGGAATGCTGTTGTACTAAGAATGTGTTTGCCCCAACGATATGCGATGACCTGATGTTATGAATTCAGACCTGGTGTTATGAAATCAACTACCCGGCAACGAGAATGCGATACATCGAAACAAAGAAATTGAAAGACATTGAATTGAAAAAAAGAAATTGAAAGCAGTAAATTATCGAAACACTAAATCAAATCAGTCGCCAAATCAGTCGTAAAATCAGTCTCCAGCAGATTCGCCTGCATCCATAGCCACCAAAACGGAGGCAGACAAACTTCTCCTGACCGCTGCCGCTGCCTTGTCCTTTGTCTCTACGGCTAATTGCACCTTCCACGACGTGGTAGGATAGCCACCACTTTCACCCGTGGCACTTATATTTCTCCCAAAGTCCAGACAAAGGTGAATATAATAATACACAAGCTCCAGGTGGACTTTATCGACTTGTTTATCATTGTACGATTCTTGACCGGCATCTCCTCTTCTTAACAGCCGCATTTCACTGGATATGGCATTGATGTCTCCACTGACGCGTAACATCACCGGTGCCCACTCTGGATAGAAATTCCATTCAGGTAGAGATGTTGGAGCATCTGGTAGTGGTATATTGACATCCTCCTCCTCCGCTACACTCTGTACCTGTGGGCAATATGTTAACAGCTTCTCACGATTGAACAGTAGGTCAGGATTTGTTTCCAGATTTTTCCAGCCACAGATTTTTCTTGCCGACATTGCGTTTAAGGTGCGTGAAATACGACCACGGATACGTGTACATGAGGAGTTTTTCTTCTCTGTATGGTAATCCGACAAGAACTGGTAATCCAACGGATCGACTGCAGCCGCCCTACGGTCAATTATAGACATGAGGCACACCACGGTGTGAAGCGAAGTTTGAGGCGGAATATCCCGGAAAATATCCATCAGACATTCCGTGAACCCAGCGTCTTGAACAACGACTGAAACAACGAACAGATATTAGAAATTAGTAGCCGAAATGGCTATACAGCATATCTATACACCCATATATCTTTGTTAGGGTTGTCCACTCAGGGACGGATTCAGGGGCGGATTCGTTTCCCTAACCGAAATACAATGCCGAATGCCTACACCCAACACATCACAGTATCAATCATGCCTACACCCAACCGAATATACCATGCCTACATATCTACCTTGCCTATATAAGGCCGTGTAGCATGGTACATATAGGGGGGGGGGGGGGGGGGCATTGGTATTTGCTTAAAATTCGAAAAAAAAATCCCTGCTGCGCCAAAAATAAACTATGAATTACCTGGAGTAGAGGACATTTAAGCTTGGGGTTGGTGAAGGTCGACTAAATGCAGACACCATGGGAGAACATTTCTTATTACTGCCGGTGCTACTTGTAGTTTCTGCTTCTTACATTTCGTCGGCACTGGTGACCGTCTCCTTTTCTGCCCTGCCCCTGATCCACTTGCAGTTGAAGTGCTCTTCGTGTTTTCGTTGTCGGCTGTCAACTTATCCAGTGTCAACGTCACGTTAGCGGTTTTCAACTTCGTGTTTACGTCTTTCAACTTCTCGTTATCGGCTGTCAACTTCTTGTTATCGGCTGTCAACTTCTTGTTTATCGTTTTTCTCCTTCTCCTTAGCGGCTGTCAACTTCTTGTTATCGTCTTTCAACTTCTCGTTATCGGCTGTCAACTTCTTGTTATCGTCTTTCAACTTCTCGTTATCGTCTTTCAACTTCTCGTTATCGTCTTTCAACTTCTCGTTATCGGCTGTCAACTTCTTTTTATCGTCTTTCAACTTCTCGTTATCGGCTGTCAACTTCTCGTTATCGTCTTTCAACTTCTGCAAGTTCGGGTCTGGCTGGCTGATCTCAATCGCTGCGTCTGGCTCAGGCACTTCGTCGTCATCTTCCTCCTCCTCAGACGTTTCTCCTAAAAAAAGGGTGCAATTATCTAACGGCGGTGTAGCGTGGAAACTTGCGACTACGACTATTTCACCATATTTCGCCTATTTGATCAAATTATTAGAAAAATTATTCAACAAAAATAATCCGAAAAAAACCGAAGTGGTGCAATAGTACTTTTTCGTAAACTAACGTTTTCAACGGGTTTTACCGATATTTGCCTATTTAAGCGACTATTTCAGGTAGGCCTAAATTTGCCGCATAGACTATTTGAAGACGTTCCTGACTCCTGAGTGCAACACGAATCCGAAAATTTAAAATGTGAAAATGCAGAAAATGTCGTACCTCTCTCAACATTAGTTGGATATAAGTTTTTTTATGTAAGTATTTGCAGTCTGGTAGTTCACCAGGGGAGTTCACCAGCTAACTTACATATTGAATATAGCAATTGGAGAGGTGCTTTGTAGGTGCTCCTGCTTTGTAGGCACTGAAGTGTGTATAGGCAACCTTCTGGATATGGGAAATCCAGTACACCACATCAGCACGGGCAGTTGAGTTGGCGATTGGACGGTTGTTTAGGGGTAGTTTTCCCCCTCGAGCAAGACGCCCATCTCCAAACACCCCATACGTTGATGGGAGGTATTGACAATTTAACTGCGAAACTTCTGCTGAGGGTAGCGAGGATCCGGACCCGCCGGAAAGCTCTGCTTCTTCCTCATCGTCGGGTATTTCGGCCATTACAAAACTGAAACAGAAAAGAAACTTGAGGCTCGGTTTGAAAATTAAGTTTCTTATCTTAACAAAAATGTTGACAGAATAGGCATAAATAGGAATTTGATTTTGTTTAGAGGCACGTTAACAGGTAAAGTTGATTCGTGGAATGTGTGTTCTGGAATTGGAGGTAGGTTTTTTTGTCTGCGACGATATGTCTGCAACGATTTTTTTGTCTGCAACGATATGTGATGTCCTGATGTTATGAAATCAGACCTGTTGTTATGAAAACAACTACCCTGCAACGAGAATGCGATACATCGAAAAAAGAAATTGAAAGACATTGAATTGAAAAAAAGAAATTGAAAGCAGTAAATTATCGAAACACTAAATCAAAT